ACATATAGAACATAGTCTGGAAGAAGTGCAGTTAACGGACGGAGTTGCGTGCGACAGCTACTATTCATATAATTGACGACAACATCAGTTTTAGTAAAATTAACAAATAATACAAGTAATTTTGAGCGGAATAATTTAATGTAATGATTAGAAACAATAGGAGCGCATGCGCCGGAGTCGCGGTTACCTAACGCCGCGTTAGATAATAATGTACGGCAGAGGCGCGGTGAAAGCATTCACCGCGCATCGCCGCTGCCGCGCGGGCCCGCTGCAGCCAGTCTGCGGGTGGTTCACGTGTTGTCGCCGGTGGATGAGTGTTGGCAATGCCTCGTGTCTATGTGTAAGAGTATATGTGTTGTGGATGGAGCGAGGCGAGGCGGGGTGACAGGTCCCTCTCATAAAAAGGTATTTTGATTATTAGCTGTTTGTTGCGAAATATAACTTTTTTTAAATTTCAAAGGTTTCGTATGTTTTAAAATTGTAAAATGCAAGCGTTCAGTGAAGAGCATAGCCCGCAGCCGTCAGGTAGCGGTGAGAGATGTGTGACAGGACTTACATCAAGGGGCTGTAGCGCCGCATCGTCAGCGAGCTGGCGGCGCACACGCGGTGCGGCCGCGGCGGGCGCGAGCAGCGCAGCGAGCAGCGCGACGAGCAGCGCGGCGAGCGGGATCACAAACGGGCGTGCGGCTGCCATGGCGTATGAGCGGGCACTGCGGCAGCGCGGCCGACCGCCGACGCCGGTCGCGCGGGCCGCGGTGGGGCGCCGGCGCAGAGGCTCACCCGCGCCCGTATGTTACCCTGCGGCGTGCTCCAATACGTCGTGTGACACAAGCCGGGAGGTGTATGCCAGTATGTCACCGCGGCTGAGTGTCGCCGTAAGGTGTTCGCGTATAGAGCATCATTTCGTGTGCGTGGCCGCTCGCCGCTCGCTGGCGCGCTGAGGCCGTGACCCAAAGTTCGCGATTTTAGTAAATGCACGTAGAGAGGATAGATGAATGGTTTTAACATAATGATGTTTTTTTTGCATTCAAGGTTTATGCATGTGTACGATGCTTAATGGAACGATTAACATAATACAAATAATATGCAATCTGTTTTAGAGATAAAATGACAAATATGATTTCAATAGACATACGAGAAATTAAATAGAAAAAAGAACCTTTCTCTCATCAACTGTAGGCTGCTGTGAGGAGGCTGTAACTAGGATACAGGAGTACGAGCAATCTATCTGTATGATGCAGAAGAAATTGATAGTTTGTTTGTATGTGACAATGAAACATGAACATAACATTCCGAGCGCTTTACAAACAGTGTGGTCTGATTATTTACATTTTTTCCAAGTATTTAATAAAGTTAATGTGAATAGTATGGTGTGTAAGGTTGATGACACAGCCGAGAGTCAGCTTTATGCAAGCAGCCTTCATCTGAACGTCCCACGTCTTATGAAACATTATTAAATAACCAAATAACCTATGACTAAATCCGTAAATACACTTATATTTCCTTATAGACATAAGGCAGTTAGCCCAGCAGGTCTACGCCGAAAGAGTCTTTAGTTTATTTATTTTAAGCTTTGTACACAGTTTAAAGTTTGTAACATTATATAGAAATACAGTGATGTACAGATTTTAACTCTAAACAGTTCTCTTACAGCTAACCTTGCGATACAGAGAGGATGTATAGTGGGTAATAACTGTATGTAGTTGTACAAATTATATGTACTGATAAATAAATGCCCAAGTTGTGGTTTACATAGGTAGGCGGTGACTTGGCAGGAAATACTGCTTCTCTCTACTGAGCTATTTACAATGGCGGTGAGGGGCCCTTTTTCCATTAAATTGACTCTATTTTGTCTGAGCACTTTGACTGTGAGTGTCAGCGACTGTGTTATGTTGTATGTACTTTTTTTTAAATACATTAGCTGAAAAGACGCTGCGATGACGATGTGAAATAGTTTATCGCATCATGATCGCCATCGTTTTATGTCCCAAATGCGCGGCACCGGTAAATGACTTAATAACCTTTGACATGAGGTTTTGCAAACACGCCGCCGCCAGAGACTGGGTAATGAAACAATTGGGACAATGTTGGCACCGCTCAGCACGGTACGTCACATTTAATCATTGTCCATATTCATAGATATATCTCACACATGAAGCAGTTGTACATATTTACAAACAACTGACAGTTGAATTAATCACTCATACTATTAAGATTACATTCGTTGGTAACGTAAAATTCAGCTTCTACGTACAAAAGACTTCAACGCGCGTGCAGTTTGTCTGATGCCGCATTTATGTACATACTCGTAAACTACCTCGTATTGATGAGACAAAAACCAAATGATACGGGATAGCAAGAAATATTTGGAAGTATTGCAAATTTACGCATGAATCTGTATACGTTTAATAAGCAAAAGACTATGCTGTTGAATGAAGATGCCAAGGGAAGTGTTACATTAGACATAACTACGCCGAGGTACGGTACAACCTTCGCAGTGAAGAGCTATTGGTTTTTTTTATTTGTATATTAACTAATAACGCCACCGACCTTCAGTGTGGCTAAGTGTAGTCGTAGTTCACTTAGATTCGTCGTCAGCTAAGCGAGGTGTCGACCTCGCAGCTGTCGGCGAGCGGCGGCGGCGAGCGGCGGCGAGCGACGGCCTTCCTGCCCGCGCATTAGCTCTAATATGATTGATCTGGTTACCATTTACATCTAAGTATTACCTCTTGGGCTCTTATAATACTTTATTGTTGGGCGAGAAAAGTTCGCAAAGACCCTATAATTGGGATAAAAAAGCTGAAACTGGTTATGTAAAGTAGGATAGTGCATCAAAATTGACAAGAAGATATGAATAATTGGAACAGAGAGTGAGCAGACACAACAGATTACGTCTCCAGAGCTTCTCGACAGAATCTATAGTCTGAGATCAAATTTATTCTAACGATTGGTTTGTGATCTGTTACAAAGAAACGTTTCACTTTAGACGAAGTCAAAATGGCACATAAATTATTATAATCGCAAAAATGTAGTTTAATTAAGAAAAGAGTAAGATGAAAATAGTATTTTCATAATGAGGTTAACAATCAAAATATTATATACACAGTTGCGGCTGTGTCATGCCACTTTAACCATACTGGTGTACATTATAATGTTAATGGATGTTACTGAACGATCCCCGTTTTTAATTTGCCTATAATTTGCAACGATTCAGCAAATTGTAAATTGACCAAATTCTTAGTCAGTCGGTGACAAGTATTTTTTCAGAACAAACATTTAAAAGAAAACACTAATTTTACACATATGATAATTTATGCGCACAAAAGCTTGACCTTACGACTGCAGTGGGTCATGCAGCACGCAAGCCATTCCTTGCGAAACTTAACACATAAGTTTTTTGGTGAAACGGTATTAATTATATATTTGTGTAGCAGCATTAGGTCGGCGTCCAGCGCGCGACGTCGCCGGCAGAAGTGTCTCTGATTCGGATCTGACGATACATTGACTTGTTTCAGTTCTCAGTTCAAAACTGTCAAAGGGCTGAGCATTACGTTGCGTATATCTCTATCACAATCAATTCCTTACATTGACGGCAGTACCGACATAAGGGTTAGAATAGGAAAGGTTGGGCGGTTCCACGGACCTGCTCGGTTGTCCGAGTGGGCGGAGGGGTGAACTCCGACGTGGCGCGTCCCCGGGTGGTGGATAGGGGAACGCCCCGGATAGCGTTAAAACCGGCTGTGATTGTTAGAGATGTGTCAGCGCTGCTCTGTCACCTGCCTCGTGTCGCATTCAGCCAGCTGCTGCTCTGCAAAACTGATTTTATTGTTTCTGTCATTTTTTGTAATATATTAAATTTTAATCCTTTGTCTGATCACTAGAAACATATTTCAATTTGTCCAATATAATATAAAAATCTATGTCGCGTAGTATGTTTATTTGGTGCATCATGTTGGGTGTTTACATAAATGCCGGCAACACGTAATGATATTATGTAATGATGAAATTTATCGCAGCTTTTGTTACGTCTTGTACTTTCTAACCTAGATCCTGCGCCGAGCACCGACCGCGAATGCCCGCGCCTGCCCGCGCCCGGACACCGCGAGGGAATGTACGGGGAAGCCATAACTGCACTGCGCCGCTACTCTAATAAGTACATACTTCATCTAGTAATCGCAATTCGGTATACGAGCCGGGGTTGTGGATTGCACAGTGCGTCTAGTTAACTTCTACATATCGACAGATGTGATCCTGCGGAAGTATAAATGTTTTAAGGCGTGTTTCAACTTCGAAGTCGAAAGTTTAGATAGTGGATAATTGTTTGCTAGAAGGTATCTCCAAAACGGCTATATAGTCTGGAAGAACACATAGGCTGCATTATAACTTTTTTTAAATTTCGCGCAGACAAAGACGCGGCCAGTTCTAGTATTTATCGTACATAATCTTTGATCTTTTAGAGGCAATTACTTATATTTTAATGCCATGCTAATGTATAACTTTTAACTGGCTTGTACAATAACAACAACTAAAATAACAAGTTCCGAATGCCACTAACTGACAGTTCAGTGACGGCGGGGTGAGGGGGGTGAGGGGCGAGGGGCGACCTCGCCGCCTCACTGCCTGCTCTTAGTCCCAACACAGACAAGTGAGCTAGATGGTAACCAGTTTGCAGTCGTCATCCGCAACCCGAACCCACAAGTGAACCTGCGCCATTTAAAATAATATAAAATGTACACAAAAGGAAGAGTATGAATATGTACTAGTCCCGCTTGTATCTCTATCGACAACTCGGCGTGAGACACGCGGCGGCGCATGGCTCGGTGTGAGGCACCTCCTCTGGTCTCTCTCTTGAAGTTTCATTGCTGACGACATTGATTACTTTTGTATTTATTTATATTTCATAAAGCTGAAGAGTTTGTTCAAACCGATCTCAAAATTAACCAATTGTACAAAAAATGTAGGCTAGTTATAGTTGACGGCATTCCTTTTATGTTATACATATTAGTTACTTTAATAGAACATATTAATCAGATAATATCAGCTTAAATATTTTCGTAAGCTGCCGCGATTTAAGTATTTGGTTTCTAGCGCTCGTTAACTGGGAATATTGAGCCGGATACTCTTTAAACATTAATAAAACTAATAAAGAAATATAAAATAGCAAAACACGTCCATTGCACAACAATGTTGGTAGACCGTTACAAAACGTATATGCAAATTATATGAGCGTAATTCATCTTCATTACAACTCCAAAACAACTCGCACTTTGTTTAAAAAATCATACAAACTAATCTTCTAAGTACAGAGTGTTCTAAATATTTTTTCTTCAGACGCTCATCGTCTCTTTCACCTCTCGCTTTTCGTTAATCACCTTGCTGATTGCCGTGTGTTATACAAAGTTGTTGGAGTTGTAGAAAGTGCCGTGTGAGGGAGAAGGCTGGAACGGTCGGTGTGCTGAAGGGTGTGCACACTCACTCTCTGGACATGTTGCTGGCATTGAATGCGGGCAGGCGGCGGATCCCGCGCCACACACACGACAGACCTCGGAACTTGTCAGACATATTTAAATAGATCGAACAGAGTAAAGTGACCGGCTGAACAAAGTCGGCCAAGGCGCTAGCGTATCATGATTTACGGCGATTTACTTCTAATATATGAAATTAGCCTGCACTCGTATCTTGCACAAGGAGTGA